ATAGGACAGGAAAGGCTGGGATAGGACAGGAAAGGCTGGGATAGGTTTGCTCAGATAGTAGCAGTGACATACATACTTTTACTCAGGTCTTAGACCCTACTCGCAGATCAGCTGAGCATGGTACTCTGACGTCCGCACGTCGCCACGCACTCACCTGAAACAGAAAACATTAATTATCTCTCTATAATCACAAAAATCATACCAACTACTTTTTTGGTATAATTTTAAAATCTAATTCAAATTCTATTTGAATAATATATATGTGCAACTTGGCCTCTAACTCATCGCTGAAGGTTTCTTTGACAATCGACCCCCGGGGAGCCGGTCGGCCGAGCGGACAGCACGCTGGACTTGTGATCCTGTGGTCCCGGGTTCGATCCCAGGCGCCGGCGAGAAACAATGGACAGAGTTTCTTTCACCCTATGCCCCTGTTACCTAGCAGTAAAATAGGTACCTGGGTGTTAGTCAGCTGTCACGGGCTGCTTCCTGGGGATGGAGGCCTGGTTGAGGACCGGGCCGCGGGGACACTAAAGCCCCGAAATCATCTCAAGATAACCCCAATTATTCCCTTTTTAACGATTCCGTCAAAATTGCAGTGGTTTAGGTGAACTGAAACCACCGCACTACTGACGTTTCCTGGGTAGGGAAGGGCTTGAATCTTTTGATTACCTTGAGGTTACCTTGAGGTGCTTCCGGGGCTTAGCGTCCCCGCGGCCCAGTCGTCGACCAGGCCTCCTAGTTGCTGGACTGATCAACCAGGCTGTTGGACGCGGATGCTCGCAGCCTGACGTATGAGTCACAGCCTGGTTGATCAGGTCATTAATCATTAGGCTAAATCAGTGAAATATTGCCGGAACAACCGTGGACATTTTCAAGAGAAAACTAGATTGTTTACTAACAAAAAGTGCAGGACTAACTGGGCTGTGGTGCTTGGCTGTGGTTGCTTGGAGTAGCCCGCAGGCCCACAAGCAACCACAGCCTGCGGGCCGCTCCAAGCAACAGCCTGGTGGACCAAACTCTCACAAGTCAAGCCTGGCCTCGGGCCGGGCTTGGACAGTAGAACAACTCCCAGAACTCCATCAATCAGGTATATGTGGGCCTGCGGGCCGCTCCAAGCAACAGCCTGGTGGACCAAACTCTCACAAGTCAAGCCTGGCCTCGGGTCGGGCTTGGGAAGTAGAAGAACTCCCAGAACCCCATCAACCAGGTATATGTGGGCCTGCGGGCCGCTCCAAGCAACAGCCTGGTGGACCAAACTCTCACAAGTCAAGCCTGGCCTCGGGCCGGGCTTGGGCAGTAGAACAACTCCCAGAACCCCATCAACCAGGTATATGTGGGCCTGCGGGCCGCTCCAAGCAACAGCCTGGTGGACCAAACTCTCACAAGTCAAGCCTGGCCTCGGGCCGGGCTTGGGCAGTAGAACAACTCCCAGAACCCCATCAACCAGGTATATGTGGGCCTGCGGGCCGCTCCAAGCAACAGCCTGGTGGACCAAACTCTCACAAGTCAAGCCTGGCCTCGGGCCGGGCTTGGGCAGTAGAACAACTCCCAGAACCCCATCAACCAGGTATATGTGGGCCTGCGGGCCGCTCCAAGCAACAGCCTGGTGGACCAAACTCTCACAAGTCAAGCCTGGCCTCGGGCCGGGCTTGGGCAGTAGAACAACTCCCAGAACCCCACCAACCAGGTATATGTGGGCCTGCGGGCCGCTCCAAGCAACAGCCTGGTGGACCAAACTCTCACAAGTCAAGCCTGGCCTCGGGCCGGGCTTGGGCAGTAGAACAACTCCCAGAACCCCATCAACCAGGTATATGTGGGCCTGCGGGCCGCTCCAAGCAACAGCCTGGTGGACCAAACTCTCACAAGTCAAGCCTGGCCTCGGGCCGGGCTTGGGCAGTAGAACAACTCCCAGAACCCCATCAACCAGGTATATGTGGGCCTGCGGGCCGCTCCAAGCAACAGCCTGGTGGACCAAACTCTCACAAGTCAAGCCTGGCCTCGGGCCGGGCTTGGGCAGTAGAACAACTCCCAGAACCCCACCAACCAGGTATATGTGGGCCTGCGGGCCGCTCCAAGCAACAGCCTGGTGGACCAAACTCTCACAAGTCAAGCCTGGCCTCGGGCCGGGCTTGGGCAGTAGAACAACTCCCAGAACCCCATCAACCAGGTATATGTGGGCCTGCGGGCCGCTCCAAGCAACAGCCTGGTGGACCAAACTCTCACAAGTCAAGCCTGGCCTCGGGCCGGGCTTGGGCAGTAGAACAACTCCCAGAACCCCACCAACCAGGTATATGTGGGCCTGCGGGCCGCTCCAAGCAACAGCCTGGTGGACCAAACTCTCACAAGTCAAGCCTGGCCTCGGGCCGGGCTTGGGCAGTAGAACAACTCCCAGAACCCCATCAACCAGGTATATAGCAGCGTTTTACAAAATGGGAATTTATATAACAAGCCAATGTATGTCATCAAGTTCTGGCGTGTGTACACTCGCTTAGTTTTGCTTGCGGGGGTTGAGCTTTAGCTCTTTGGTCCCGCTGCCGGCGTGTTTACAGACGAGTAGGCACCACAAGACACCTCATCAAAGCCTCCAGTGGGCAACACAAAACACTATGATGTTCAATTTCAAAGTTGCAGCTGTTGCACTAAATAAAAGACGTAATCCCATCAGAAGACATACCATTTACAGAGTACATGAAGCAACCCACAATTACGAAGACAATTATAGGTACAGTAACAATACCTTAATTGCCGTCCCTAGAGAACAGTGACTCAGACGAGCCATCCAACATCACCTACATTATTGAGGCGAATCTTCCCATCACTCCAGCAGTAGAGGTGTAATAACACATATATACAGGCGACGAGTCACAATAACGTGGCTAAAGTAAGTTGACCAGACCACACACTAGAAGGTGAAGCGACGACGACGACGTTTCGGTCCGTCCTGGACCATTCTTAAGTCGATTAACTTGAGAATATCGACTTGAGAATGGTCCAGGATGGACCGAATCGTCGTCGTCCCTTCACCTTCTTGTGTGTAACAAATCCACAAGGGCCGTGACGAGGATTCGAACCTGCGTCCGGGAGCATCCCAGACACTGTTTTGTTCATTTGATGCATCACGTTAGTGTGATCTGTGTGTGTGACTTCTAGTGTGTGGTCTGGTCAACACACACACACATCTATACACAAATAACGGAAGGCTCTCCCCTTAAACTTTTAAGCGGAATTACTAGCACATTTCTAATTGTGTTCAGCTGACGTGATTAACACCAATAAACTGCTCCTGCCAACCAGTCTCGCGTCAGCAATACATGATCGTGTTTATATAGAGCACTGAGAGAGCCAGAGCACCGAGACAACTTCCCCAAGCGCCTTGAGGCTCTACGAAGCATCAATTAAGATATGGATTGCTCGTTATAGTCTAGTTATCGAGGCCCTCAGCCGACGTGCGTCGCTGGGGCGAAGTTCGGCGCTAGGAGAGAGAGAGAGATACCTGGTTGATGGGGTTCTGGGAGTTCTTCTACTCCCCAAGCCCGGCCCGAGGCCAGGCTCGACTTGTGAGAGTTTGGTCCACCAGGCTGTTGCTTGGAGCGGCCCGCAGGCCCACATACCCACCACAGCCCGGTTGGTCCGGCACTCCTTGGAGGAATAAATCTAGTTTCCTCTTGAAAATGTCCACGGTTGTTCCAGCAATATTTCTGAAGGGGGAAGAGAGAGAGAGAGAGAGAGAGAGAGAGAGAGAGAGAGAGAGAGAGAGAGAGAGAGAGAGAGAGAGAGAGAGAGAGAGAGAGAGAGAGAGAGAGAGAGAGAGAGAGAGATAGAGGATATGTATATTTAGCATGGCTGGTGCATTGGGGGTTGATAGCTGGGTGTTGAGTGTGGGTTGGGGTGGCTGTGGCTAGGGGGTGGCTGGGTGTGGCTAGGGGATGGCTGGGTGTGGCATGGGGGTGGCTAGGGGATGGCTAGGGGATGGCTGGGTGGTAGTAGTGGGGGAAAGAGCGAGGCTGGTGATATTCAGGAGGGATTGAGAGGGCCGGGAATACACAGCCTTGTACACAAAGCTGTGGGGTGTGGGGGGCTGGTCAGTAGCTTCTGGTTCTCATGTTACACACCGTGTGGGTCTGACGTGAAGGGGTCTGGTGGCTGAGTGGACAGTGCGCAGGATTCGTAATTCTATGGCCCGGGTTCGATTCCCGGAGCAGGCAGAAACAAATGGGCAAAATTTCTTTCACCCTAATGCCTCATGTTCCCTAGCAGTAAATAGGTACCTGGGTGTTAGACAGCTATCACGGAGCTGCTTCCTGGGGATGTGTGTGTGTGTGTGTGTGTGTGTGTGTGTGTGTGTGTGTGTGTGTGTGTGTGTGTTAGAAATATATGTAGTATAGAGGAAAAATACATTGGTTAGAAGGATGGGGAGCTAATGGCTCATTTCTGTAGATACAACTAGTCAATACACGTGTACACACGTACATATGCACGTGTAAACACGTACATATGCACGTGCACAGAGCAGGGACGCATTTACGGTATAGTTTCCGGTACTTGAACCTTCCCTTTGTGTCTCCTAACAGCCTTCCGCTGATAAATAAAAGGACTAATTATCTCTCCCTTGGGCGTCCTCACTTCAACCACGCCTCTGGCGACCTGCTGTAGCAGCTTCAGAGGATCAATGGCCCCGCGGCCCGGTCTCCGACCCCGGCCTCCTGTTGACAGGCTTATAATTCTTCCCTTATCACACCTCATATTAAGCCTTACCCCCTTGCTCATTTTCCCTAGAACACGACCCATCAACCTGATTTACCCCGTTTTACTTCCTGTAAGATGACTTGGACAACCTGAAGCAATGCTCCAACACATGGCTATTGGAGTTCAACTGGAATAGGTGTAAGGAGTAGGTGACCTGACACCTTTTTAATTGGGAGCATTGATTGGTGGATAAAATCAAGTAGAGAAAGATTATGACCTTTGCCTCAAGGCATCTTAAAGTCTCCTGGTATGTCTCACTGTGTCCGAGATGTCTTAGTGTCTTCGGATGTCTTTACAGTGTCTTCGGATGTCTTTACAGTGTCCTCGGATGTCTTTACAGCGTCCTCGGATGTCTTTACAGTGTCTTCGGATGTCTTTACAGCGTCCTCGGATGTCTTTACAGTGTCCTCGGATGTCTTTACAGTGTCCTCGGATGTCTTTACAGTGTCTTCGGATGTCTTTACAGTGTCCTCGGATGTCTTTACAGTGTCTTCAGATGTCTTTACAGTGTCTTCGGATGTCTTTACAGTGTCTTCGGATGTCTTTACAGTGTCTTCGGATGTCTTTACAGTGTCCTCGGAGGTCTTTACAGTGTCTTCGGATGTCTTTACAGTGTCCTCGGATGTCTTTACAGTGTCTTCGGATGTCTTTACAGTGTCTTCGGATGTCTTTACAGTGTCTTCGGATGTCTTTACAGTGTCTTCGGACGTCTTTACAGTGTCTTCGGATGTCTTTACAGTGTCCTCGGATGTCTTTACAGTGTCCTCGGATGTCTTTACAGTGTCTTCGGATGTCTTTACAGTGTCTTCGGATGTCTTTACAGTGTCTTCGGATGTCTTTACATTGTCCTCGGATGTCTTTACAGTGTCCTCAGATGTCTTTACAGTGTCCTCGGATGTCTTTACAGTGTCTTCGGATGTCTTTACAGTGTCTTCGGATGTATTTACAGTGTCTTCGGATGTATTTACAGTGTCTTCGGATGTATTTACAGTGTCTTCGGATGTATTTACAGTGTCTTCGGATGTATTTACAGTGTCTTCTGATGTATTTACAGTGTCTTCTGATGTATTTACAGTGTCCTCGGATGTCTTAAAGTGTCTTCGGATATCTTTACAGTGTCCTCGGATGTCTTAAAGTGTCTTCGGATATCTTTACAGTGTACTCGGATGTCTTAAAGTGTCTTCGGATATCTTTACAGTGTACTCGGATGTCTTAAAGTGTCCTCGGATGTCTTAAAGTGTCTTCGGATATCTTTACAGTGTACTCGGATGTCTTAAAGTGTCTTCGGATATCTTTACAGTGTACTCGGATGTCTTAAAGTGTCTTCGGATATCTTTACAGTGTACTCGGATGTCTTAAAGTGTCTTCAGGTGACCTTCAGCGCCCCAGGAAACGGTAACTTACCTTTGGAGGGACCACATGAATGGGACTTGGGACAGCGGCTTCTATAGGTACCAGAAGCCCTACCACCTGGGCTTTTATGCCCTGGGGTACCTGGGTACTGGACCCCCGCTGCTGGGCTAACTGTATTATCCTCACTGGGAACTAGCAGAATACCGGGCCCCGGTTCCAAAGGTTCCCAAATACTCCCCAAGGTGCCCAAAAAGTCCCCAAGATTCCCAAATACTTTCCCAAATACTCCCCCAGATTCCCAAATACTTCCCCAGATTTCCAACTACTCCCCCAAGATTCCCAAATGCTCCCTAAGGTGCCCAAATACTCCAAGGTTCCCAAATAATCGCAGATATGAGCGACGCGAGTGGCCGCGAGCCGTAACTAGGGCCACATTCCACACTGCTCCAGATATGTGGCCACTACGCTAACAGAACTGTGGCCCGGGGAGAGTGTGGCCGCCCCGTCACGTCTCCGCTCCGCTCGGAAACCAACACCGCCCTGTTACCACCTCAATGTGATACCTAATGATGGCATGGCCGCCCAACAGGACGCCGGGCATGGCCGCCCCATAACACAACTTGCCACCGTGGAAATGCAGGCTATAACTAGGCTTTTTCTGTTTGGCTTCCTCGCTAGCCGGCTACCTGGCTGTGATTGTTTGCCTGCCTGCCTGATTGTTTGCCTATCTGGCGTCTTAATCACGTTGTTAGAGCGACCCGTCCTCACACTAGGCTAGTTAAAGCAGCGGCCGTCCTCCCCAGACGCATTCAACCATTTTAATATACAAACCAATTATTTACACATCGTATTTGTAGCAGTTATTTGTATTTGAAGTACGTGGGTGAAGCATTTATAGAATTGTGGGTCGAACAGAGGACGTGAGGCCCACAGTGAGTAGTGGTGGAGGGCCACAGTGAGTAGTGGTGGAGGCCCCACAGTCAGTAGTGGTGGAGGCCCCACAGTCAGTAGTGGTGGAGGGCCACAGTGAGTAGTGGTAGAGGCCTAAGGGTGAGTGTAGTGGTGACAGGAAGAGTGACACACGCCGTGTGACAGGAAGCACCAGAAAACATCACCAGAAGGTGAAACTTTCCAGAGTGATGGCCCCCTCCCCCCCCCCCCACCCCAGGGGGAAGGGGGTCGAAGGGGCGCGAAAATAGGGAGAAAATGGAGGGTGTGTAATACCCATTTTCTTATAGCATTTGACCTAATTGAATACAAAATCAACTTTTTGGGTTCAACAGCCCTTTCATGTGGGGGCTCTGTCGTAGAGGCTGGGCTCTATGACTCGAGACTACGAAGGTTTGGGCTCTACGACTCTAGCGCGCGAGCCAGACTGAAGCAAACACCGTCTATGGCTCTCACTGTTATAATATCAACGTTAACTACACAGCCAGACCAACCCCACACGTAAACAAGACGTCGACCAAAGCACGCAGAGCACGCAAGAATGTACACAGGGAGCCGATACACCCATGTGCGTGTCATGAAGCACACACAGGGAGCTGATACACCCATGTGCGGGTCATGAAGTACACACAGGGAGCTGATACACCCATGTGCGTGTCATGAAGTACACACAGGGAGCCGATACACCCATGTGCGTGTCATGAAGTACACACAGGGAGCTGATACACCCATGTGCGTGTCATGAAGTACACACAGGGAGCTGATACACCCATGTGCAGGTCATGAAGTACACACAGGGAGCTGATACACCCATGTGCGTGTCATGAAGTACACACAGGGAGCCGATACACCCATGTGCGTGTCATGAAGTACACACAGGGAGCTGATACACCCATGTGCGGGTCATGAAGTGCACACAGGGAGCTGATACACCCATGTGCGGGTCATGAAGTGCACACAGGGAGCTGATACACCCATGTGCGGGTCATGAAGTACACACAGGGAGCTGATACACCCATGTGCGGGTCATGAAGTACACACAGGGAGCTGATACACCCATGTGCGGGTCATGAAGTGCACACAGGGAGCTGATACACCCATGTGCGGGTCATGAAGTGCACACAGGGAGCCGATACACCCATGTGCGGGTCATGAAGTACACACAGGGAGCCGATACACCCATGTGCGTGTCATGAAGTGCACACAGGGAGCCGATACACCCATGTGCGTGTCATGAAGTACACACAGGGAGCCGATACACCCATGTGCGGGTCATGAAGCACACACAGGGAGCCGATACACCCATGTGTGGGTCATGAAGTACACACAGGGAGCCGATACACCCATGTGCGGGTCATGAAGCACACACAGGGAGCCGATACACCCATGTGCGGGTCATGAAGCACACACAGGGAGCCGATACACCCATGTGCGTGTCATGAAGCACACACAGGGAGCCGATACACCCATGTGCGTGTCATGAAGTACACACAGGGAGCTGATACACCCATGTGCGGGTCATGAAGTGCACACAGGGAGCCGATACACCCATGTGCGGGTCATGAAGCACACACAGGGAGCCGATACACCCATGTGCGGGTCATGAAGTGCACACAGGGAGCCGATACACCCATGTGCGTGTCATGAAGTACACACAGGGAGCTGATACACCCATGTGCGGGTCATGAAGTGCACACAGGGAGCCGATACACCCATGTGCGGGTCATGAAGCACACACAGGGAGCCGATACACCCATGTGCGGGTCATGAAGCACACACAGGGAGCCGATACACCCATGTGCGGGTCATGAAGTACACACAGGGAGCCGATACACCCATGTGCGGGTCATGAAGTACACACAGGGAGCTGATACACCCATGTGCGGGTCATGAAGCACACACAGGGAGCCGATACACCCATGTGCGGGTCATGAAGTACACACAGGGAGCCGATACACCCATGTGCGGGTCATGAAGTACACACAGGGAGCTGATACACCCATGTGCGGGTCATGAAGCACACACAGGGAGCCGATACACCCATGTGCGGGTCATGAAGCACACACAGGGAGCTGATACACCCATGTGCGGGTCATGAAGTACACACAGGGAGCTGATACACCCATGTGCGGGTCATGAAGCACACACAGGGAGCCGATACACCCATGTGCGGGTCATGAAGTGCACACAGGGAGCCGATACACCCATGTGCGGGTCATGAAGTACACACAGGGAGCCGATACACCCATGTGCGGGTCATGAAGTACACACAGGGAGCCGATACACCCATGTGCGGGTCATGAAGTACACACAGGGAGCCGATACACCCATGTGCGGGTCATGAAGTACACACAGGGAGCCGATACACCCATGTGCGTGTCATGAAGCACACACAGGGAGCCGATACACCCATGTGCGTGTCATGAAGCACACACAGGGAGCCGATACACCCATGTGCGGGTCATGAAGTGCACACAGGGAGCAAACGAGCCGTGTGTACAGCCACACACGGGAAGCAGTTTGTATAATAGACCTTCGTGGATTTAGCGACGGTTGAGTGGCTGTGAATGGTGTTCCCCAAGTGGTAGAGATATGTGGCGGGTGGAGACGGGTGCTGACGGGTGCAGACGGGTGCTGGTGGGTGGAGACGGGTGCTGGCGGGTGGAGACGGGTGCTGGCGGGTGCTGGTGGGTGGAGACGGGTGCTGGCGGGTGGAGACGGGTGCTGGCGGGTGCTGGCGGGTGGAGACGGGGTTCTGACGCGTGCAGACGGGGTGCAGACGGGGTGCTGACGGATGCAGACGGGTGCAGACGGGGTTCTGACGCGTGCAGACGGGTGCAGACGGGGTTCTGACGCGTGCAGACGGGTGCAGACGGATGCAGACGGGTGCTGACGGGTAATGACTGCCGTCAAGAACAGCCTGCCATTATACCACCATATACTGTCAACCAAACCAACCAAGAACCATTTCAACCATAAATAACGGAAACCATTTAATCAACGTCGTATTAATCTGGTGCGTTATTTTATTTTTTTTGGGGGTCAATTGAATTATTTTCCACGTGGAAAAAAACCAAGATGGCGCCCAGCAGGACTCTGACGTCACTTCCGTCGGCACGTGCAGTGAATGAGCCAATTAGAAAGGGGAGGAGAAATCGGAGTTAATTCCCATTGGTTGAAAGCTGAAAGTGCGGGAAAATTCCCCAAAACACCATTAATATACTCAGGTTTCTGACCGATTTTCATGAAATTTTCTCACAAGACAGTGTAGAATTTTCCCTTTTAAGCTAAGAGGAGAGTTTTTTTTTTATATATTACAAACAACACAGCCATTCCTTTAAAATTATAGCCCTTGTGACTACTATTTGGTCGAACGTACAAAAATGGACTGTTCATGCCAACATTGTTTAAGCTACATAGTATACTTAATTTTGTTGAGAACTATGAGACTTAACAGCGGCAGGGAACCACACGCCCACAACCCCCCCCCCCCCCGTGAAAAGGCTGCACGACAGCCCCTGAAAAAGATTATCGAACTATTAATCGAACTCCGGCCTTCGAAGATGGCCGAAGGCGTGAAAGGTCAGAGGGCGCGATGCCGCAGGAAACTCCCCAAACACTCATCCCAGACACCTGAGAGGCGCAGGCCAGCGCTGACGGGCAGGGAGGGAGGAGGTTCATGGGAGAGGAGGAAGGGGGTTGATGGGAAAGTAGGGGTGACTGGAGACTGAAGGGGTTGGGGTGATAATAGGTTGGGCAGACGAGCAGGCGACCCATCTGTCGGTGCTGAGAAACGTATACAGGCCCTGCTTGATACCTGGTTGATGGGGTTCTGGGAGTTCTTCTACTCCCCAAGCCCGGCCCGAGGCCAGGCTTGACTTGTGAGAGTTTGGTCCACCAGGCTGTTGCTTGGAGCGGCCCGCAGGCCCACATATACCTGGTTGATGGGGTTCTGGGAGTTGTTCTACTCCCCAAGCCCGGCCCGAGGCCAGGCTTGACTTGTGAGAGTTTGGTCCACCAGGCTGTTGCTTGGAGCGGCCCGCAGGCCCACATATACCTGGTTGATGGGGTTCTGGGAGTTGTTCTACTCCCCAAGCCCGGCCCGAGGCCAGGCTTGACT